AAGTGTGATCACATCCAGAAGGTGCAAAGTGTGATCACATCCAGAAGGTGCAATATCTTTTATACAAGCTATAAACATATAATAATTTATGGAAGAGAGACACGCTGTTCCTCGCTTTAAACTTGGTGATTGATCCAGGTCTCCTTTTTTAATAATTTATGGCAATGTTTAACCCAGAAATGTGATGATGAATAGGCTTCACCAACCATATATGTAGAACATTCTTCCCAATCTGTGAATAGTAACTCACCTCTTGATTAGTCTGCTAAACTTGGAAGAATGAAAGCTTTCTGTGTACTGTAGGTGGTTTGCTTAGAAAGTTAATTAAATTGAGTAACCAGAAGGGGGAGCACTTCTCCTTTTGAAGAGAAAGTAATTTTAGAGAGTAGGCAAGGTTTTTCAGAAATAATTTGCCATTGCCTCTTTCCTAAGCTGAGAATAAGTGATCACCCAGCTAATTTGGTGTGTAAGGCAGATCACAGTCTTATAGTTTTTAGTATGATGCCTTACTTAGGCACTACACCAAACTGGTTCTCTATGCCCCCTTTACATTTAGGTGAATACAAGACTTTTAGATGAGCTTAATAATGCTGAAGATCTTAAAACTCAATTTTCCTCCTTACTCCTGCTCTTGTTGTAACTTCTAATCTACTTTTCCTCATAGAGAAAATAAAAAGCACTGTTACAGAAGCATTACCAAAAATTCAAGAATATTCTGAAGTGACCCAGATGGTTTGTTTTTCATCTGAAGAAAGGTAGGGAATAATAGGCATTCAGGACTTTTAAAGGTTTTTTTTGTTTTAATATTATGAAAGGTTTTATATCACTTTGTGTTAACAGTATAATTCTATGGGGACTGGGGATGATGGGACTGTAATCCGTCATACTAAGGGAATGGTGTTCTTTACCAGCTTTCTTATCAACAGCATTCTCAATTAAATGAATGCTCAGAAGCAAGCATAATACACTTACTGTTTTACTGAAGAAGTTTGTAGATATCTGAAAAGATCTGAAATAGCCTCTGAAAATGTAATTGCGGTCATTTTGTTTCTAAATAGGATTGAATTAAATTGCAATGAATATAGAAGTACTGAGGTGACCAATGAATATAGAAGTAC